AACATTAACGTACTATACGATATTACATATAATAAACAATTTTATCCATTTGCATTAATTTCTTATTTCTTTCTCACTTTTCTACCTAAGAAATAAATATATAATACTAAATAATTCAAAGATCTTCTCATAGTGAGCTAAATTTCCTTCCTTTTCTTATATATATTCCCCGTACTGACATAATAGGTGAGTCATTTGGGATGTCATTAGTAGGGTTATTTCTTTTTAAATTTCACTTATAATGATCTAAGCTTTTTATTATTATTATTATTATTTGAAATAAAAAAAAATATATCTTCACAAGCAACCTGATTATAGATAATTAAAACTATTTAGTATGTAAGGGATATTAGAATTTTGTGCTGTGTATGAATAAAATAAATAAATATATAAGATTTGAGATTTTAACAATTTGTGCCACTCTACAGGGACTGAATGATATTTATGTAGTAATAGAAAAATATAATTAACATTTATTGTATGGGCATGCAGTTTGTTTTTTTCCCTTCACGAAATATTCTGACTTTGCCAATTGGCTCCAATCTTATTGTTTAAGAATGATAAAAATCAAAACTTGGTCAGTACTTTATCGAACTTGTGCTTCTGTCCTAATTTAAGAAAAAATATGATTTCTCCAATGATCCAGGAGATCTACTTAATGCTTCTATTTTATGATTTTGTCGCCTTTTGGTAATCAATTTGCTTCCATAAAGAACCCGGATGCATTTCTTGCAATCTTTTCTTCTGCTCTCTGCTAAAATGTATCAGGGTTTATCGTATTAATTTTAACATTCTCATTTTAAACACTCGTTGGTGTAATGATTTTGGCCTTTTCATGTCACAGGTGTGGTTTCTCCTTCTGTTGGGAAAGGGGCAGTAAGTCCATATGATTACTACTCAACCTTCCACAAGACACCAAACCGAAAGAGGTTCACAAAGGAAGATTGGGAAGATTTTACTCAGGAATCAACCCGAGAAGCTGTAGCAGGGTTGGTAACATCTCCAGAATTCACGGATTGGATTATTGAGCATGCGGACCGCATACACATCCACCCAGACGAGAGTTCGGATGAAGCAGAAGCAAGTGAATCTGATTCTATAGACGAGATTACTCTGCAGGATGGCAATTGGTTTGCCTTTTTCAGTTGGTAGCAGCTGAAGCGAAAGAAATAGCAATTCCAGAATGCAGTTTTCACTGACATTCAAACAAACATTAGAATGGGAAATATGATGCTTGATAGATGCTGACTCAAAGTTAGGCAAAAGTCAACTAGGTCCACTCCTTTTTCCTTAGCACAGATAGCGTGGCAGTTTCTAGTTTGCTGGAATCTTTGCTCTGTAATTTTACATGATTTAAGTGTAAGCTGTCTTTCTCTAGATCTGATGTTAATATTTGTTTGCATCCAGAAATCAAATTAGGAGCAGAAATCACATTAAACTCTTTTGGTCTCTTAATTGCTTTATTTTTTCTGATAATTCAAGGGTGAAATCTGTTGGTTGCAAGTTACAGGCTTAGCACCCTCTTCCCAAAGAAAATGAATGGTAAATTTAGAGTCGAAGATGTTGGCTTAAGTAACTGGAGATGGCTGAAAGTGAAATCGGAAGAGCTTAACAAAATTAAAGGACAATATATAATCTAACCAGAAACTGTAGGAGTCTGCTACGGTGAATTAACCATAAAAATGTTTGATTTTGTTAGGGTGTTTCACTTTTACATCCGTATTCAATCTAGGCACTTGGTGTCATCATATTGTCAAATTATAAGCAGCTTTCATATTGAAGTTTCGAAGGAAGAAGTTTATACGTTTCCAAAAATTGAAGATACAGATCAAAATATTTAACTATTTGTGTAAAGATATCAATTGGTAAAATTGTTGATAAAAGAAAGAGATTTTATACATGAATCACTCACATATTCTCTTGAATTTTATGTATCCGCGAGGTTAATTTAAACTAATAGAAATATACAAGAACAAGTAATTTTTATTGGAAACATTTTTCTAATGAATTTCTTTGGAACTTTTATAGTAAACAGAAGTCCGGAACCCAAGTCAATAAGGTGTGTCCATCCAGCTGAGAAAAACAAAGGAATGATACGCATTTATTAACATAATTAGAACGTTATGTTGGTGAACCAACCTCCAATAAAAAAAAAAAAATAAAAAAAAAAATTAAATGATTAAATATTTGAAAAAAATAATTTTAATTAATTTAATAAAAATAAAAATATATCTAGATGATATACGTATTAATTAATTAATTAATATATATATATATATATATATTCTCGATTAAAAGAATAAACGGTAGTATTATTCATGGGGTTTAATCTAATATTTTCAAAAAAAAATTGAGAGGATAAATGTATAAAACAACAAAAACAAACTCCTTCAAAATTATGTCGACTAAAAAGGCATCCATGCATAATTATAAAAAAATAAATAAAAATTGGAATTTCAAAATTAATTTATGCTAACATATATTTTCTTATAATTTGTAAGAAAAGAGGACCCACCTATTATCATCACCATCTCCCCCATCATCATCCCACGCAACCTGAATCAACAAATCATTTTCCCTTCCGTTTCCAATTGAATCTTGCAAGAAAATTTTCTATCTTCCCTGGTTAAAAAGGAAACTGCACTCCATGCTCTCTTGATCTCTGACAAAAGATGCCATCTCCCACCACCACGTCTCTCTCAGTAACGCAGACAATCAACGGTTCGCATAATTTTACCATCAAGGGATATTCTTTGGCCAAGGGCATTGGCGTCGGCAAACACATCGCCAGCGATACCTTCTCCGTCGGCGGTTACCAGTGGGCTATCTACTTCTACCCCGACGGCAAGAATCCGGAAGACAACTCTGCTTATGTCTCCGTCTTCATCGCGCTCGCCAGTGATGGCACCGACGTTAGGGCTCTATTCGAACTCTCTTTGCTCGACCAGAGCGGGAAGGGCAAGCACAAGGTCCATAGCCACTTCGATCGCGCCCTAGAGAGCGGTCCGTACACCCTCAAGTATCGCGGCAGCATGTGGTCAGTTACCATTTCCATTTCTTTCTTATTTATCCGTTTTCGAGAATTTTGAATATTTAGAAATCGCTTTTTTTTCGACGTGGAAATTTGATGAACATATGCGTTGGAGAACTTTATGGTAGATAGCATGCCAAAAAGGAAGATCAATTTAGATAGTTTCTTGCAACTCAAAAAGATTTGAGCAACATGGTAGATCGTACTCTTTCTTGATCGAAAATCTTGAACATTGAGAAATTGCTTTTTCTTTTCTTTTCTTTTTTTTTTTTTTCTCTTGTTGGCGTCGAGATTTAATTAAAATATACGTTGTGCTGGGGAACTTCATGTTAGATAGCATGCCAAAAAGAAAGACCAATTTAGATAGTTTCTTGTAACTCAAAAAGATTTGAGCAAGATGGTAGATGGTATTCGTTTCTTGAAACGATTCATTCTCTTTTCCTTATACTTATTTTGGGACTACAAGAAAGCTCACCTTCTTCGGAGCATTGTGGATGGAATGACAAACACAATTTATGTTTGCGTATCCAATAGAAGGCATTGAGAAATTTGAAAATCAAAAGAGTTCTGGGACCTTTAAAATAGTGTACAGTTTTCTATTGTAAATTGCTGTTTTTCTGATAAGTAATAAATAGTTCTGTTTTCTATATATGAGTTGTTGGTTTCAATTCTATAATAGGCTGGTTCAAAGATTCATATTCTTGCAAGTTACAAATCACAATGGTCCCAGC